CTTAATCCCCTCTAATTCTTCTTAGAAGCCTGCCTTACCCTCTCTTTCCTCATAGACACTTCAGTGAACCTCAAAGCCAGGCCTCAAGACCCTTGCTCTGGGCTCTTGTGGTACGGTATGCCCCTTTACTCTAGCACTTTCTCCCAATCTGATTCTACACACACCTTAGATGCCCCCAGTGATTCTGTCTTCCCCCAGTACACTGTCTACTATGTGGAGAACATGTGCTCAAGCTCATCTTGGGGCCTGACCCTACAGAATGCACACCATAAAGGCACTGCACAGATGCGCTAGTGAACAATGACCAGGGATCTCTTTGCTGGCGTTAAGTGGCATGGTTTGAGTAGCTAGGCCCACACGCATAGGTGATCTATGTAGTGTCATACTGCTAGAAAGTAGACATAGGAGAGTACCACCCTACCTTACCTACTCCTTTCTCATAGACACTTCAGTGAGCCTCAAAGTCAGGCCTCAAGACCCCCAGGTCCAAGAGTCTTTCTTTCTGTTTCACCTTAGTGGCTCTTATTGATGGCCCAGTGAGGTAGTAATGGTCTAGTACCATTGTCGCTGAGGTCACAGATGCCAGCCTTCTACAGAAGGGCCAGCTCTAACTTTCCTGACTGTGGATGGCCCACCTGGCATGTTAGCTGCTTTTGGTTGCTGTGATAAACACCATGACCAAAGGCAACCTATGGAAGAAGTTTGCTTTGTTGGCTTATGGTTCTGAGAGGGAGGCCATGTCTGAGAAGGCATGGCAGCAGACGACCATAGCAGAAAGCTGAGCAATCGCATCTTCAACCACAAACACAAGGCAAAGAGTAAGCACTGTAAGTGGGGTGAGATTACAAACTCCCCAAACCTGTCCCCAGTGATGCACTTCATCCAGCAAGGCTGCACCTCCCCGGACAGCACCCAACCAGGGACCAGGTGTTCAGACAGAGGAGCGATGGGGGACATTTCTCATTCAAACCACCATGCCTAGCTTTTTGTTTGTGTGAGCTGGGCCCCAAACATCTGAGTGGAAACAGGGCAGGGATGAGATGGGAAGGCAGGGCCAGCTGTTTCCCATGCTAGGCAGGGCTTCAGAGTGGGCATGTTGCTTGTGCAGGCAGATACGGCTCTCTGTCTTTGCCTGTCCCTTCCTTGTTCCTAGTCATGGGAGTCAAGAGAGTTGCCTCTCTCTGAGTGCAGCCTTGTCAAACTCTCAGGGGGTGGGGTTGTCTCCCTCCAGCCATACCTCTAACCTTTGCTTCATTCCTCGAAGGCCACTTCTACTTCCCTGGGGGCACAACCAGAAAATGAGTGTCATCCAGGAGTCTCCCTCCCCATCCCCACCTTCTCAGTTGGCCCCCAAATTCAGTCAACACCCAGGCACTGAATCCTTCAACCCGGCCCCTGGATATCACCCCGCGTCCTCCTAGGGTCCCACTATAAAGTGAAGAGACACTTTGACCCCTGTACTCCTTTGCTCTAGATCAGTGCTTCTCAATGCGGGTCACCAGTTGAATGACCATTTCACAGGGGCCACCTAAGACCATCAGAAAACACAGATATTTACATTATGATTAATAACAGTAGCTAAATTACAGTTATGAAGAAGCAGTGAAAATAACTTTATGGTTGTGGTTCACCACAACATGAGGACTGTTTTAAAGGGTGAAGGCTGAGAATCACTGCCCTGGATCCTTCTATCGCTCCCTGATGATTCAGGATGAAGAACAAACTCTCAGATGGCACTTAAAGACCCTTTTTTATTCCCCATATTCCACCATATTCCCCAGCCACATTTGTCACCCTGGGTCTCACCCAGAGCTTTGGGTGAGGCCCCTAACCTGCCCTTCAGCTCACTGGCATGTTTCTCCTTCTTGCCGGCCCATTCTTTGGCAATAGTTCTCCACCCAGCAGGTTCTGCTCTGGGAATGTCCACTTCAGCCCTCGATCCTCAGTCTAGAAAGTGCTATCTGAAGGAAGACAGCACAGACCACCTTACTTCTGGGTCTGCTATGGGGAGGCTCTGCGGTCTCCATCCTATGGATACACTAGTGAGGCTACAGCATCATCTCCTGTCTCTCTTGCATCCCTCTTACTTAAGTAGAAGGCCAGGTAGAGACTCGCCAGAGAATATGAGCTTCACACACACAGCACCTGGGTGAACTAGTGCATGTGAACACATGCAAACACATGTACCCACACATGTGAATACGTGTGAGTGCATGCACCCACAGAGAGACAATGAATGAAAGCCCGAAGGAACCCCAGACCTCTCTTTAACACAAGTTAGCTGCTGCTGTATCTCCCTTCCTTCTCTTTCCCCTCCTCCTGTCCCTCTTCCTTTTCCTCCTCTTCCTGTCCTCCCCCCTCCTCCCTCCTACCCTCTTCCTCATCCCATTCTTGGGCTGTGCCACCTCCTGGCCCACAGATCTGTCCTTTCTGTCTGTCTGCTACCATTTTCCTCTGGCCGGGCAACCTAATTAAAGGCCATCATTAAGTCAATCTAGCACTTCCGAGTTGTTTCAAAATCACTTGTCTTTTTGCTTTCCTCTTAAACATCCATAATTTTACACATTTAATTCCCCAGATGCTGTTCAATTCTTGCATCCCAGATTGAGCTAAGCCCCTGAAGCAATTTCAGTAACAGCTCAATTATGGCAGCTCTCCTTTAATCCTTTGATTCCCTTCACCACCCAGGAAGCAGTAGAAAGTGAGATGGGATGTTCTCTGTCCAAACCTGCTTCTTTCCCTGCAGCTCCTCTTAGTCTGTGCCATTGGCTTCCTCCCAGTCGCCTGAAAGCCAAATCTCAGAATCACCACTCTCTCCTTCTACTCCCACTCCTATTTCCAGCAACTCTTCAAGATGAGATGTACCCCACTGAGGAGTGCTTGTCTAGACTTCGGTAATCCCTGTGCTACACCCAGCATTTACCAACTCCCTTTGCCTGAACTGAGATTCCTTCATGAGTGGTACTCCTATCTCTAGCCTCACATTTATGTCTGTACTTACCCACCTGCTCATCCATCTATGCATTCATCATCCATATCTTCTATCCATCTACCTACCCACACATCTAACCTCTGTCTGTCTGTCTGTCTGTCTGTCTGTCTGTCTGTCTATCCATCTATCCATTGTTCATCCATATCCACCCATCCATCCATTATCCATCCATCCATCCACTCCAGCTATCTACCTACATATCTATCCAACTCATTCATCTACCCATCCATCTGTCCATTGTATGAATCCATCCTACTGTCCCTCCAATTTCCCCTCACTGATTTTTTTCGGAAACACACACTAGTTATACTTGTATAACCTCTGTGACTTCCCATATCTTGGAAGAGAAATTCTGAATTCTGATTACAGAGTAAAATCTTTTGAAGAATGTTTTTTAAAATACTAATAGCAGGTTCAACCCTAGAGCATCAAACTCACTTTGTCCTGTTATAAGTTCCTGAGGCTATTCTACAGTGTTACAACGGACTCAAACATAGCCTAGATGGCAGAATCCCAACTACTTTGGCCTTACATTCCATACCTGCTGCAGTCAAGCCTCTATCCTGTTTCCCAGCCTCATGACCAACATGCTTTCAGTACTATTCTCAGAATTCAGGGTTTCCTTAGATAATTTGTTATTCAGTCTCTCTCTGTCTCTGTCTCTGTCTCTCTCACTCTCTCTCACACACACACAAGCACGCACACACGCGTGTGGGCACATGCACTTGTGATTGGAAACCCCATATTCATCCTTCAAAAGCCCAGTACAAATGAGATCTTTTCTCAAGGGTCACTCTACCACAGCATCCACTCTGTGGTTGCCACCTTGCTGGGCCCTGAGCACAGTGAGTACAAGAGAAACAGTACCTGCTCTCTAGGGGCTCCCAGGAAGGTAGAGGTGGGCAGAATATTATCGGGCAGCCTTCTGTAACCATGAGGGATTCCATGAGAGTCAATTTCTGAAGAGAAAAGGGCTGGGCTTTGCTTCTGATTTTTCTTTCTGCACTAGAAAGCATGGTAAGAGAAAGATTGGGGCTTGTAGAAGGAGAACCCAGCTCAGGTATGCTGTGTGTCAAGATGGGGTCATCGATTGCGTCTGTGTTTAGGATTTTATTTGCCTTTTTTCTTACAGAAGAGCATGTATACTTTTTCCTGAGCCTGACAAGAGGGGGTCTTTGGGAAAGCAGAGTCAAGACAGTGACTTGTCTATTGTTTCATTAGCTTGGGAAGCAGTGATACACAGAGATACACAGACTTCAGCTCATATCAGAGTGCCCAGGCAAGCTTCTCAAACCCAGACTGCTGGGCCCAACCCCAGTGTTCTGATTCTGCAAGGCTGGAACGTGCATTTCTGATGTTTTCAGGGGATCACAGTGTGACATCCCATTTTAGCCCCGTGTCCAGCTAGAGTCAGTCTGAGAACCCATCAATCGCTATAGGACAAAGGCTTATTTGTCCCGTAAGTACGTGTATCTTCCTTTGCCTCTCTTTCCACATGCAGAACCTGACCCCTTCAGGCCGATGCTCACCAGCTCTTTCAAGCATCATTATTGTCATACTGGTTTCTAGGATGTCAGGAGCTCCCTAGGGAAGGACAAAGGTGTCAAGAGCCCGGGGGACTCTGTGGGTTATTGGAGACAGGTTAGCGGAGAGGAAGTATCTTCTTGTTTTTCCACTGCATAGAGCTAGAAACCATGAAATAGTTCGGAACAATCTATTTAGTATTTCTCTGCCCCATTAAGATAGATTGTTTCTAGAAGAGGGAAGGGAACATGACAAGTGCCGCAGTCAAAGGGAATGTAGATGGCCCAGGATAGAGACAGAGTCAATGCCCAAGGTCTAGCTCTAGAGCTACTCTATAACCATGGAGTATCACTTTGGTTCTCTGGCCTGTTTCCATAGTTGTACAAAGTGTAATAAGATTGACTTTGAAGGTGGCTGTGAGAGTAAAATTGAGTGACCATGGGAACTGACATGAAGCTGACTTGAGCCATCTTGGTTCCCACAGGAAGGATCAATATCTCCTCTCGCCAGTGAACTGCTGGTATCTGGTACTGCATCAGACCCGGCGGGAGAGCCGAGACCATGCCACCCTCAATGACATCTTCATGAACAATGTCATCGTCCGCCTTTCCCAGATCAGTGAGGATGTCATCAGACTCTTCAAAAAGGTCAGCTGCCTATTCTGCCCTAGGTCTCTGTCCTAGACTGGCCATGACAATATTCTATCAACATGGTGAGATGTATTTGGGGATAAGGGACCAGAAAGGCAGGTGTTGAATGATACAGGGGGCTGAGGGCCACACTATACTCTCCAGTCCAAATTTGACCTCTGTATTTGCCTTTGAGAGACTGTGTGTACTCAGTCACTTTAGCACCTATGTACACAAGAGTAAGAACCTTTACATGGCTAAATGTGTAGTATACGTGTATCATAGGCAATCTGGAAAAATGGAAGTGGACATGGGCCCAGAAATTTAAATCAACAGAAATTTTACCAGTCAATCACTTGGAAATTCTAAGAATTTCTCTGTGTATACCTGTATCGATATATTTCCTGTGAGTGCCTATAATTTGTGCATATTCTAGAATGTATACACATTTCCCCCTGTGTAAGATCATACTGTATAGTTGATATTACTGCCTACTTTTGTCACCTGACAAACTTAGGTAATGCTCTCTGTCAAAAATTTCCCACATTGAAAATTTACTTCTGTTTTGAATGACTGCACAGCATTTTGTTATATTGACCTACCCTGACCTATGTGCCTCATCTCTTTCTGTTGAATACTTTGATAAATGCCATGATTTTATGTTACAAAGAGCCCCACTATGAGCTTTCCCCCACACTGGTTGTTACTTAGGATCGGTTTTCACAATGGGAACCATAGGCTCAAAAGTTGGTTTACTTTTAAGGTGTTAGTGGAATACTCCATTGCTAAAAGAAAGGTTTTACCCAGGGAAATATCCAGTAGCCAAGGGTGAAAAGAGTCATCACTTTTTATGTCCCCTGAAGCCTTTGTCCAAAGCTTCTTTTTTTTTTTTTTTTGGTTTTACAAGACAGGGGTTCTCTGTATTGTTTTGGAGGCTGTCGGTCCAGCCTGGCCTCGAACTCACAGAGATCTGCCTGCCTCTGCCTCCCGAGTGCTGGGATTAAAGGCGTGTGCTACCACCACCCAGCTTATCCAAAGCATCTTAAACAATGCCTGTCACAATGGAGGCTCTATGTGAATGTGTGAAGAATTCAATTTTCTGTAAAATGGGTGTGTCATTTAGCCTTCTCTTAGTCTGTTGAGTGAGGCTGAAATTGGCTGCTTTTGGGGGCCCCGTGTGAAGGTCAGACGTGCTGTCCTGTGGGGATGGACCATAGCAGAAAACTAGAGTCCTTAGTATTTTAGAAAGAAAATAATCCTGGTGCTATTCCTTTAAAAACCCATGTGTCCTGTATATCTTCAGGCTTGTGACTTAAGCCTGCACCCTGGTTTCCTCATTTGTGAAATGCTCACAGACCATCCCAGCTGGTGTTAGATGGGATATGTCATTCTCGTGTGATCTATGTATCTCTGGGCTGATGACTTAAATTTCCTGTGCCTCGGTTTTCTCACTTGTGAAATGGGTAGAAACACCCTGAGGGGCATTGGCAGCATAGGCTACCCTGGCCTTGCTCTGTGAAAGCTGGCTGTGGTCCTAGGACAGCAGTGACTGTTACTCAGTACAGCTTAGCTCTTCTTCCCAGGTACCAATTTAGTGATCTGGTGACCCAGGGGGGCTAGACACTCAAGGAAGGGGACAGGCTGCTGACTTAAAGTCGCATCATCTCTTAAGGTCTGTGCTTGCATTGCCCGCTTTGAGGATGATTTCTGCAGAAGAACTGTGCTTGTTGCCTCATGGCCTCCTGCTGCACAATACACTTCTGGTTTCTTCTTGATGCTGTGTTTATGACATGTGGTCTGAGTTTAATATTTGCATAAGCAAACATAATTAGAAAGGTAAATACAGAGCCAAAAAAAATCATCCCACAGTGCTTCACAGAGGCCAGGCGACAAGCTTTAGATGTCTGCTGCTTTGGAGTCCTGATCCTGGGATGGCCCTTGCCTGCCGCTGTCACAGCCTTTTCCTGGGTGGGAATGACTCAGAGAGAAAGGGTCGTCAAGGCCTTTAGGAAACGAAGGCTGTTTTTTCCTGAGCTGAGCCCTGGGACAAGTGAGATAAATCTTTGCAGTTCTCATTTAGCCTGACAGCAGCCTGACTTGTGATGGAGGTTAACAGGGTGGAAAATAATGAAAAATGTCCACAGCTGAGCTCCTGGCTGCCTTGTTACCAGGCCTGTCCTGTAGAACAAAGGAACTGACCTGGCCCCTGTGGGCTGGGAGAGTGCTGGGAACAAGTGTGCCTGGCTCATTTAGCCCAGTGAGGCCCTTTTGTTTTGTCCACAGTATATATAGCTCAGAGCTAAGTCCCGCGCTTCTTATATAGGGAGAATTCTTATATCTATCTCAACCACTCCAGGACTAAGTCCTGGGGAAATGCGGGGTGCACACCCTATTTTATAGAGATGGGAGAAAGCCTTGGGCAGCTTCAAAGAGAGCATCAATGTGGCTTTAGCTCCTTACCATCAGTGAGACAGGGTTTTTAGAGTTTGTCACTGAGCACCCTGGCCAATGTTTTTAACCCACAATTTTCTCATCTAGGAAGTAGGTCTGGAACAATGACCACACTGGGGACCACTTGGAAGAGCAGAGGCAGGTCAAGTGCCAACATAGGGTGTGGCGCTCAGAACATACTCAAGAAACGGAAGCTTGATAATGGAGTGGAAGTGTGTGGCCAGTGTGGGGTGCTAGTGCTTGGCGGGGTCTTTCTCACCACCCACCCAACCTTGCTCTGTTGGTCAAGCTGCAGGAGGCCAGGAGTGGTTGCTATGGGCGTCAAATAGTTGCCCTGCCTGCCATCTTCTCACAGAACATTATGCCACCTCACTTTACTCTCACGCTTTCCCATTCTCTGCTCTCTCTTTCATAGAGTCTGGCTTTTATTTATTTGTTTGTCTTGATTTGATTTGGTCATTTTAAAAATGTTTTATTTTATGTGCATAAATGTTTAGTCTACATGTGTGTTGTCTGTCGTGTGCATGCAGTGCCTATGGAGAACAGAAGAGGGCACTGGATCCTCTGGAATGGGAGCTACAAGCTGTTGTGAGAGTAGCGTGGGTGCTGGGAACTGAACCTGGGTCCTCAGCAAGAGCAGAATGTGCTCTTAACTACTGAGCCACTCCCTAGCCCATGGAGACTCTGTTCTAAGGAGTAGTAGCATTATAAACTCCAGAAACTTATGTCACTTAGAGGTGCAGATCTGTCATCTAGCTGCTCAGGTGACTGAGTAATCATGAGTTCATCTATAAATTCAAGGCCAGCTCAGGCTACAGAGTGAATTCAAGACTAACCTGGTCAACTTAATGAGACCCTGTCTCAAAAACACAAAGGAGTATAACTGGCTTGTCAGAAATGAAGATATTCGTCTACGGCCATATCACCCTGAACATACCCGATCTTGTCAGAAATGAAGATATTCTAAAGAGACACTTGTGTCTTTCAATCTGACTATCAAATCACTGAAACAATGGACCCCAAAGAAATAGGGATTTCCCCAGGAATTTCATGTAGCAGAAGGAAAATGTGTGTGTGTGTGAGCACAAGTGCATGAGTGTGTGTGTGTGTGTGTGTGTGTGCATGCATGAGTGCTTGCTTATGTGTTTGGGAGTGTGTGTGCTTGAGTGCATGTATGGCTGTGTGCGTGTGTGTGTATATGTGTATGTGTGTACTTGTCTCCTTGAATGATACTTCACACAGTAATAACAACTTGTCAGAATGCCTTTCAGAATGAGACTGAATTCCAGACAAAGATGAGTCAGTGGGTGGGACCACACCTTGACTGGGACATGTTAGATGTGTACATCTTTGGCCCTCTATTTAAACTTCCATCTCACTTCAGAACCCCAAAGATGGACTTGAGGGTTTTTCTGTAACTCTTTGTCCTTCTTCTCGGTGTGGCATTGAATAAATCTCTCCTTTTTTGACTTTCCACTTTTCAATTGGCTCTTCTTGGGTTATTGAGGGCAGGTTGCTGGACCTGACTTGGGCACAGATTGCTATACCCCTGCTCCCAGTTTGACAGCAGAAGGCTCGAGATGTAGCTCAGAGACTGGGCACTTGACTAGCATGCATGACTAGCCCAGCATTCAGTCCCCAGCACTAGGAAAGGCACTCTGGAAGCTGGTGGAGGTGTCTGGCTGTAAGGGGAGGGGTCCGGCTCAGACAGAGCAAAGCAGGACTGAATAAGATCTTAGAGGCGATCTGGAATGGTCAGGACCTGTGCCTGTTGGCAACAGAAATATAGTTCAACCTGCTTGAAGTGGGGAAAGGGCTTTTCAGCTTTTTCAAGATGACCTTGGCTTCAGGCTTGGGGGTTCTTCTAAGGATACAAAAATTATTTTCAGAAAATTTTTCTGCCATGCAGCTCTGGTGTCTGTTTCTCAATTTTCAGGGCAGAGTTTTGATGAAGAGCCTTTTTCTTAGTTTGTCCCACTTTGATGACCAGGTGGCTCCCAGCAGCCCCCGGCTTGAATCTTATCTGTTTTTTTATCTAGCATTAGATCTTCTAAGCACTGATTGGTCCAGCACAGACATGTGATCTCCCTTGCCACTGCATCTGACTAAGTGTAGGAAAGATGCCTACCTCTGGAGCAAGAGGTGCTCAGCTCTGCTAATCCACAGGGCTGAGGATGAGTGAGGGTGGCTCCCCAGGAACTTCGATAAAACATCAGGACCAAGGCAACTTGGTTGGGATGTCCTTGTGATAAGAGGTAATAGATGTCCATTGGGCTCTCTACTCCAGCCCTTTTATCGTATTGAGCTAGGTGTTGTCCCTCAACAAAGGATGCACCTTACCTCTCAGGACTGCCCACCCTGTCTGGGAACAGCTGTGATCAATATACAGTCCTTCAATGCAGAACATATTACATGTTTTTTGCTCTTGGGTCCTTGAGGGCCACAAATATCCAATAAGTGCAGAAACCTGTTCGTGGCTTGGACACAGAAATCAAAATGGTCTTCTCAGGTCTTTGCTGCTTAGAAATGAGCATTGCAGTTCACTCAGATCTTCTCTGTAGTTTGCT